AAAGTTCAGAGTTACAAACAATCTTTGGTTTCTACCTTTGTAGTATTAGTAATGCAAACTGGCTCTCTGCTCGAACTCAAACATGAGATGTCAGCAGCTCAGAGAGAAGATTAAACTTAGTCAATCAGATCTTGGTCAATGATGCCAAAGGGCAGCAATACCAAGTCAGTTAAGTTCTTTCACTCATCATCGCTGCAGGAACTTTGCATGGTCATTTGCAACAATTAAGCAGAATCACTTACCATTGAACATCTACCAAAGTTTAAATAACTGAAACTTTAACCAAAACCTGTGATAGTAGGATCTGGCATCAAGAAACATTTATAAAAAAAAAATAATAATAATAAAAATCTTTTCAGTTGACAAAGATGTCATCGTCTGGTCAGTTTCCAAAGACTGAAGTAGCCTAATTTACAAAAACTTACAAAAGCGGCCACTCAACTGAGACTGCCCTGCTCTCGGTTACTGAAGCCCGGAGACTGGCAAGAGCAGCTTCCAAATCCTCAGTACTCATCTTGCTGGATCTGTCTGTAGCTTTTGACACGGTTAACCACCAGATCTTCCGGTCCACCCTCATAAAGATGGGCATCTCAGGAACCGCACTCCAATGGTTCAAGTCTTACCTCTCAGGTAGGTCTTTCACGGTGTCTTGGAGGGGTGAGGTTTCTAAGTCACAACTTCTTGCTACTGGGGTTCCTCAAGGCTCAGTGCTTCGACCTCTTCTCAATCTACATGTCATCATTAGGATCTGTCATTCAGAAGCATGGCTTTTCTTATCACTGCTACGCTGATGACACTCAACTCCACTTCTCATTCCAACCAGATGATCCAACGGTAGCTGGTCACATTGAGCTTCACAGACCATATTGCTACAACAGCCCGGTCCTGCAGATTTGTCTTATACAACATTAGGAAAATTAGACCCTTCCTATCAGAACAAGCTGCACAACTCCTTGTCCAAGCTCTTGTTCTCTCCGGACTGGACTATTGTAATGCTCTCTTGGCGGGCCTTCCCGCATGTACTATCAAGCCTCTGCAACTGATCCAGAATGCAGCAGCAAGAGTGGTCTTTAACGAGCCGAAAAAAAAAGCTCACGTTACACCTCTCTTCATTAGTTTACACTGGCTACCAGTAGCTGCTCGCATCAAATTCAAGGTACTGATGTTTGCCTACAAGACAATAACTGTAAACCTAAACTCCACCAATATACCTAAATGTGCACCAATATACCTAAACTCGCTAGTTCAAACTTATGCGCCCTCCAGAAGCTTGCGTTCTGCAAGTGAACGGCGCCTTGTGGTGCCATCCCAAAGAGGCACAAAATCACTATCACGGACCTTTTCCTGGACTGTGCCCAGCTGGTGGAATGACCTCCCCATCACAATTCAAACAGCTGAGTCTTTAGCCATTTTCAAAAAACACCTAAAGACATCTTTTTCACCAGCACTTGACCAACTAATACTAACACTTACCCATTCTATTCTATATTAAAATTTTTTTTTTTTAAAAACACTAGCTATGTGTACTGTGCTAGATTAACTGAGATTTGTCACAGCACTTGTATATTGTTGCTCTCTTGTTCCTCTGATTGCTTCTACTGTTCTCCTCATTTGTAAATCGCTTTGGATAAAAGCGTCTGCTAAATTATTAAATGTAAATCCTAACTTTTCCCTCAAACCTGCTTGTTGCTTAACAAAAATAGGCAAGTCAAGTCATTGACTAATTAGATAACAAGTAAACTGTCTTTGCCTTTCAACCTTTATAGGTTGTCTAGTCAATAGAGGCCTCTTCTGCACACCTGTTCACATTTATCCTCATTAGCCTGTGGCGTAACACAGCTTCACCTGAATTACTAATCAAGCCCAAGGGCTCATCAGTAATTTAGAGAGTTAATTGATGTCACTCCCCTTGTCCAAATACCCACACTTGTGGTCTTGGCCACTTGACAGCGCGAGCGCGTGTGCGCAACAGGAAGTAAGTGCACAAGACTGTCCCAGTTCTTAAAAACGCCAAAGCGCAGTGCCCTTAATGCACACTAAATCCACACTATTGCCTTGTCCAAATACCCACACTTGCGGTTTTTGCACTTGGCCAATTGACTACTTCTATGACGTATTTCCTGTATTTGGTCCAAGTGGTCAAGTGAGCATGAAGACCACAAGTGTGTGTAGAACTTTTCATTACCTGAAGGGACACACTATAGTGTTGTAAAAATGCAAGTGTTTACAGGGCTTTATTTTTATTTTCAATACTTTGCATTTTAAAATCAACTTCTAAATGTCTGTTCAGTAGTCCCTATAACAGATGACACAATTAAATTTTGTGGTGCTTCTAGTGATAAAAAGCAGTTGCAAATGTTGTACAAAATAATTATCACCACTACTCATTTGCACCAATAAAACATGCAACTCTTTGTTTTACTACCAAATTATATGTAATAACTAATTATTATTAATAGGCTTGTTTGAGATGAGCAAAATCTGCGCAGAACCGATCACCGGTGATCACCTCGAGATGCATGCCGGTTAGAAAAGTGTCCCAGTTATGTCCGACTTGCTCTGATGTCATGCTGACGTGTGGCAAAAAACTCTCGCGACAGCGAGGCGGCTGTGTCGGATTGTGGAGGCGCATCTCAAACAAGCCTAATAAATCGTGGGACTTTTTGCCGAGATCTCGCGACAGGTCATGGAAACCTTTCCAATGTATGTTAAATATTAATAATAGTTAGATATTACATATAATTTGGTAGTAAAACAAAGAGTTGCACGTTTTATTGGTGCAAATGAGTAGTGGTGATAATTATTTTGTACATTTTCAACTACATTTTATTACTTAATTAGAAGCACCACAAAATTGAATTGTGTCATCTGTTATAGGGACTACTGAACAGACATTTAGAAGTTGATTTTAAAATGCAAAGTATTGAAAATAAAAAATAAAGCTTTGTAAACACTTGCAGTTTTACAACACAGTGTGTCCCTTCAGGTAATGAAAAGTTCTACACACACTTGTGGTCTTCATGCTCACTTGACCAAATTTGGACCAAACACAGGAAATACGTCATATAAGTAGTCAAGTGGTCAAGTGCAAAGACCGCAAGTGCGGGTATTTGGACAAGGCAACTGAGGTCAAAAGAGGTTAGGCTGCTCTCAAACTCCTGGCTGCTAATTCATTTGGTTAGGATATGTGTAACTTCTCAAAAACACAAGAAACGAGAGCTTTCCATAGGTTGGCTGTGTGTGGAGTGTAAGCAAGCAAGCATACTGCTAACTGCAGGTACACTGCAATCTAATGTGAAAATCTAGTGTAAAAACATCTTATCTCTTGGCAGATATTACTTCCAATGCATTCATCTCTTTGGAGAAGCCGAGAACATCACATTGTTGTAAAAATTTTTGCAAAAAGTATATGTTATGTGTTTCATGTAGAAAATTTGTAAACAATGCACAGTATTCATACTATGTAATGCAGAAATATGCTATTCCAAATGCATAGAATAACTCCATTCACCATTAAAGGTTGCTGTTTTTTTTTTGAAGGTGTATTAGGCATTTAGCACTTTTCTGCATTATAACAAGACGCATACTTGCTTTAATCTCATTTGCAATGCCTTTCTTAGCCAGCGTGTTGCCATGTAATTGACTGCAGCCTCACTTCATGTGTGCCTGCCAATCACAGCTGTGAAACCTGACCATTCACATGCTTCCCAGGAGCAACAGATACTGACCAGGATCAGTCTTATGCACTAATGTGAATCTCACACAAACTTGTTCAGCCATATTTTACCAAAAAAAAAAAGAAGAAAAAAAAAAAAGAGGCATTATATTTAGCATGAAGAGAATATGAATCCCATTTCTGTACCATTTTGCATTGTAACATTAATTTTTTTGTATTGTGACATTAGTTACATTGTAACATTAAGGAATTAAGCACATTTCCCAAATGATTATAATTAAAACAATTTCTTTCTGTAGTACAGCAATCTTTACAAAAAAATAATCTAAATTCTTAAAAAAAAAAAAGATAAAACTTTTAAACATTAAGGACGGTACAACAAAATACTACAAAGATGTTTAAGTAATTAGCAATTTTAATAAGATATCGTAATGGACATGAGATTGGAGTGGCACGACCCAGGCATTTTCATGACTCATCCTCTTAAGGTTGTCTGCTGATTCATTCACAGAGGCATGTCAAATGTCCATTGGACACAGAAATGATAAATAAAGATTTGAAGTAAACAAAATAGGTTGCGTTTATTTGACATAAATTAACATACAAGTACAGACAACAAAGCATTTCGATAATAGTCAGCAAATAGGTTGCGTTTATTTGACATAAATTAACATACAAGTACAGACAGAGTGAAAGGACATGCTCAACAAAGCATTTCGATAATAGTCAGATACTAGACGCAAAAAAAAAAAGTTTCACACTATATGTGACCCTGGACCACAAAACCAGTCTTAAGTCGCTGGGGTATATTTGTAGCAATACCCAAAAATACATTGTATGGGTCAAAATTATTGATTTTTCTTTTATGCCAAAAATCATTAGGACAAAGTAAAGATCATGTTCCATGAAGATATTTTGTAAATTTCCTACTGTAAATATATCAAAACTTAATTTTTGATTAGTAATATGCATTGCTAAGAACTTCATTTGAACAACTTTAAAGATGATTTTCTCAATATTTAGATTTTTTTGCACCCTCAGATTCCAGATTTTCAAATAGTTGTATCTCGGCCAAATATTGTCCTATCCTAACAAACCATACATTAATGGAAAGCTGATTCATTCAGCGTTCCGATGATGTATACATCTCAATTTCGAAAAATTGACCCTTATGACTGGTTTTGTGGTCCAGGGTCACATATGCGTTTATCTATTGATAGTGTGGCACGATGCAACAGAACTATCAAAAATGACACTAACAGTATTTTTGCACACATACACAAAAAGAAAAGTGCTTTTTTAAAGCCCCCATAAGCAGAGTACACACGATTTTGGTCAAGTTCACTTGTCTGAGCTATGAAACGAGTAGTGCTTCACTATGCCTGGTTACAGAATTGACTCATGAACATACTATTAAATTAATGCTTAAGGCATGAAATGAAGCACCAACTATAACTCTGTGTTCTGAAAGACCTACAGCAGATGAAATCAGTCTGCATACTCTGAAAACACACCGGACACATCACTTCCATGGACTACACTACAAGTGCACTTTTGTCAGTTTAATTATTTAAGGCAGGCAGAAATTGGTCCGACTTCATTTTCCCCCTGGAATGTTTTCCTCAAATTGACTTAAGTATCAGACATTATTTTGAGCTTGATGACAGGACTGCCAACTTGGTTCACATTAAACCGTTTCAGCTCGGCAAAGCTTTTTTGTCTTTCTCAAGTATTTTTATAACTAACTGTGCCCATTAAAGTCATTTGTTGGAGCAAATCATCATTGACCCTGGTTATTGACATCGACAATGTAAACTCCTAGTAGCCCACAAGAATAACATTCAATAGGCCTTGTATGAAATATGGATAAAAACTCCACCTTTGTGCTTGACAAGTGACAGTGCATTATATCACACATGCGAAACCTTCAATGAAATACAAGCGTGCAGTGAGTCTGGCTAAAACGTCTAGATTTCACACCCAAGCTAAAAATACTGCACTACATATAGGCCTAGTACGAGCGATACTTCTGTAACAGATTTAAGATGAATCCTTTTTTGGGATGACAACTCTGCAGGCTGGAAGATTACAGTATTATAGATCCACTACTAACACAGACAAACTATAAGGGGTGCATCACTTTTTTTAGTTTTTGTTTTCTTAAAGGGAAGTGAACATTCGGTCATTTACTCACCCTCACATAAAGCGTTATCACCTTCTTACATGCTATTTTGTCCATACAGTGAAAGACACTGAACCACTGACCTTCCCGGTATGGACAACAGCGGTTCAAAATATCTTCTTTTGCGCAAAAGAAAGTCACAGAGGTTTGAAACAACGTGAGGGTGATTAATGATGACAATGTTCGTTTTTGAGTGAACGATCACTTTAAACTGAAGCTCAAACAGGCACGTACATTGTAAAAGCTGGATATTGCAGTTAAAGATACTCTGGCAGTGACTCTGGCAGCTGTGATCCATAATGGATCCAAGACCAACTCATTTGGTCTCATTATCTGTGGCACACTATCGATCCAGGATGGCACCGCAAAAGGAAGAGAAAAAGGCAAACGATATTAAAGCAAGCCAACTCTGTGATATCCTTTTTTTGTATATTTAGGAGGCATGGAAACAGAAAATGGCACTTAAAAACAAGTCCAAATGACCTACAGCCTAAAGAAATACAAAATAAATAGCCCTTGCGGTAGAAATCTTGTAAACGTGCGCCTTTTTGCCGTAAATCTTTCTCAGTTTCTACACAAGTAATCCTCCCACCAGGTAACAAGGCATTTCCTCTCAGACCAAAACAGAAAATAAGCCCGAAAGACTCAAGGAGGAGTTTAAATGTGCTTGTAAGCTTGAAGAGTCAAGCGATGGAACACTGCGCGAAACGAAGGGCATCCCTGGATCTCACACCGCCTGCAGGCCTCGCTCATGGCCATCCAGCTGCACCTTGATTTTGTGCAGTTCCTCGATCTCTTGATGGTGCCGCTCTGTTTTGTGGCGCACTAGCGAGCGGTAGAAGTGGATGGTGAACACCACAAAGATAAATCCAACTGGCACCATGATGATGGTGGAGGCCAAAGCCGCCTGCCAGCCGCTGTGGCCGGGCTGAACTGCAGGAGTGCTGCAGTTCTGCTTGAGGGCTGCCAGGACTGGTTGCGCCCCAGAGTCAACCGGCAAGAACTTTATCCAGCAGAGGAGCACCACCTCTGCCAGGAACAAAAGGATCCCCAGAGCGGTGGAAAAGCCCCAGGCCAGCTCAATATAGTGGTGCATCCTCTCGTGGGGCGACTCGGAGACAGAGTTGAGATTGTGGATGTTGCTGACGGCTTCCACGTTGGGCAGGATGCAGGTGCTGATGAGGAGGGCGAACAGGTGGACGGCCACCAGCACTGTGGTACACACACTGAAGGCAATGAGCAGGACCCGGGGGTAGTTGTACTGCATCTCCAGCTGCACCTCCACCATGGCCACCTGGTCACAACCACATTAGAAACAATGAAATGAAAACTGGTAATGGTCACGTCGAATGTTACAAATGGTTTCCATTTTCAAATAAATGCTGTTATTTTGTCCTTTTTATTCATCAAATAATCCTGAAAAAAGTATCACGGTTTTAAAAAATAATAAAATAAATACATAAAAAATTAAGCAGCACAATGGATTTCAACATTAGAATTTTTTTTGAGCAGCAAATCATAATATTAGAAGGATCCTGTGACACTGAAGACTAGAGTAATGATGGTGAAAATTCAGCTTTGCATCACAGGAATAAATTACATTTTAAAATTGATTTAAAAAATAGAAAAGTTATTTAAAATTGTAATATTTCACAATAATACTTTCACTATTTTTGATCGAATAAATCAAATAAATGCAGCCTGAATTTCCTGCAATCCTGAATAAAAATCCACCAATTAGAGATGTTGGAAATCTCATGGAAATTGAGCTCAATAACTACTGCCCACTCCCATGAATCACTGCAAATGATGCAGTTGGCCTACACGCTCTTGTTTTTTTTTTGGCGTTTTTGGCTTTTATTATAGGACAGCATTGTAGACAGGAAGTGAATTGGGAGTGGGGGGTTGGAATCGGGAAAGGTCCACAAGCCAGGATTTAAACTCGAGTGCAACTCGTAGCGGCTATTGGCGCCGACTACACGCTCTTGTTTATGACTGAATATTTTGGGATAAACTAAAAATAAATTAGTTTGTTGGTGCCAATAGCCTTGTGGGCAGCGCGCCGACATACAGCGCCCGTTGCGCTACGGGCGTCCCGTGTTTGAATCCCGACTCAAGGACCTTTCCCGATCCCGCCCCCCTTCTCTCTCTCCCACTTCGCTTCCTGTCAATTCTGATCTGTCCTGTCACAATAAAGGCAAAAGGATTAATTGTTTTATACTTCAGTCAATAACTATAAATCACTTACATAAAGATTCTATTGTATCCCATAATAAAATAGCTAGGATTATAATAATTGAACTACCTAAAGTCTTTTGTTTGCTTCAAATCAAGGTTTGTAATGTTACAATTCATCTCATAACTGGTTGGTTTCGTAACTCTTTACTGTAGAATGTTTGAAGTCCCTATGGAGAAAACGAATGTGAAAAATACTTCCGGTCAAGCGGGTGCTCACTGTTATGCTCTATCTTGGCCAAAAGTGGTTAGACACAAAGTTCCATCAGACAATGATTCAAGACAAACTTATCTCCAAACCATCTCATGCTTCTAAGAATTTAAAAACAGCCCACACCCTTTGTTTGAAGTTTAGCAACAGTTTCCTGATACACTCACTGAAATACAATCTACAAAAGAGTGTGGCCATGACAAGAGTCACATACATTTGATAGCTCACACTTATCACAGAGTGCCATATACTCACCATGGCAAAGCCAGACAGCAGGGCTGAGGTTCGGCTGGAGGCTTTGAGCTTGGCCCTGCTGAGGTAGAGTTTCCTCCATGAGAGAGCCTGGACCGAGTGGTGGTTGGAGGTGACCAGCTCCAGGTAGCTGCGCCGAACCCAATCCCTGTAGTCCATCCCACCGCCATCCTGCAGCCGGTCTGAGCCCCCGGGCGCGGGGGAGCCCATTGGCACACTGAGCTCACTGCTCATAGTAACTGTGAATAACAGTTTGTAAACATGATATCATATAATATAACATTCACTTTTTTATAACATAAAAGCGGTGCAGCCATTTGCGGCTTGAATGTGCAGAGCTTCCAGTGTCAGTCGCTTCTAATTAAGTTAGCTGTACAAAAACAGAGTTATGCTGTTTGATATTGCAAAATGGTATTTGTATGTTATCATATGATATTAATTTATTATCATAATCATAAACACTCTGCATTGTAGTGCAATTAGTTTTACAGATTACTGCACTTTGTTATTCCTCTATTTGCCGTGAGCGGCTAAAGAATTGTAAGTCTCGCACATTCACAGAAAATTGTTTGTCTACATTGAAATATAAGGATGTAAACAAAAAATAGGATGTAAAAATGAGAAATCTTACACTCACAATAAGTACCAAAAAGGGACCAGATACGGCAGGTGGTGTCATTGTTCTAATATTTTTTGAATATGTATCATGATAATTCCATGGTATTCTTGTAAATACCATGTTATATGAATAAGTTAATCATTCAGTGGCATGGTATTACTATCTGCTACCATTATTACAGAAGATCTATATGTGATATAAGATATAAATTATTTAAAAAATGTGAAACATACCTGATTGGCTTTGCCCTGCTTTAGGACTGGTTTTCATCACACATCTCTGGTTAAACAAAACATTGATATGTTAAATAATTACAAATTACAATTAACATTTAGAATTAATAAATGCTAAGATTAACGAAGACAAATAATATGCTAAAAATAGCATAAATAAAACTGAAATACTTTT